AATAGTTACATGTAACTTACATGGGTTCACCACCCAATGCATGTGACTTTCTGTTGTGTCACGACCATCAGCTAAATTTACTATTGACCTTAGCTCAACTGCTTGATCCAAATTGGTAACACGACTTATCAAAATGAAATCTAAACTTGTGATTTGCTCTCCATCCCAGTGGTGTAAAATAGAAAATATGTTTATAGTTCAATATCTCGGTATGTACAATTTTGGTGGTATTTTTGTTTTATGTACATTACAACATACATGTATTACCATACACAAGAACACAGGAAAATACCAAATTGTACTAAGGGTAAATTGAACCTCAACATATTAATTATGATGGAAAGAGAGAGACGAGTTTCTGCAGTATTATAATAATATAAACCTGAGTGAAGTTTTATGAATAAGATTACAGCCATAAAATTTCAGTTCTCTTACTTTAGACATGAACCTAGTTCAAGGAAGTACTTCTTCCAGTGTTGCACTCGGTGATAGACATTTTTTTTGTTTTTTTGTAATCCAATCTGTTTTTCTGTTCTAAATTTTTGGTGAGCTACAATGTCAAAGGTCTGTTATTGCTTGCATTACAAGTCTGTGTGCTGTCAGTTTTTAATCATTGATTTTGATTTTACAAAATTATTAAATTAAATATGAAATTAAAGTAAACAATTTTGGGGATGTTTAGGCCTTGATGAAGAATTTTGTGTCCTCTGCCCCTTCCTGTATTCCCCTTTCCTTTACAGGTACCTCTGACTACCAAATTCTAATTAGCTATGTATCATTTGGTGTCCCTCAGCCTGCTAAACCACCTTCAGTAACACCCAAGAAAAAAGGAGGAAGAGCTCGAAGAAGACTTCATGGTACATGTATATACATCTTTTCTTTTTCACTGAATGTCCAGCAATATCAGTAACTAAACGTACAAGCTGTTCCAGATCTGTTTCTTTTGTATTTAAATTAGTTCTTGGGGTGATCTGCATCATCTGCAAATTTCTTTATGATAGGCCCAACAAAACAATAGATAAAGAATAAAACCAATGTCCCTAGCTCTAAGNTTCTTGGGGTGATCTGCATCATCTGCAAATTTCTTTATGATAGGCCCAACAAAACAATAGATAAAGAATACAACCAATGTCCCTAGCTCTAAGAACAAAAGAGCTGCAGAATAACAAGAGTTAATGAAAATATAGGATTTTAAGGTGTGCAGACCACCCTTGGTTCTTAACCGAGCATAATATTTTAACATGCCTGGACGACAACAACTTTCACTCCAACAGCTGAATGGGCAACAGTTCAATCAACTGGCTCCTAAACGTACAGCTTACTCAAACACAACAATTCTACTCGCAAAAGCTCCCAACATAACATGTTGAGTCCTCCTTAAATAAACCATGCATCATGAGTTCATTAGGCATCCAATATTTGTCGTATAACTGCCTATTTGTCTTATAATTTGAGCGAGCATTAGATGTAAATAAAACAATCATACATATTAGCTTGTGCACCTTAGCTTGTGAAATCACTACTTAAACATCAGTGTCATTACAATACATGTATGTCAAAAGCTTCTTTTTGGAATTTTTAGACCCTGAAGCTGATGGTGGGTCATTGACAGTTGTAAAGAAAAGAGCTGATGATGGTTATATTCTCTCTGTTACTGTCCATCGTGCTGATAACCTTAAACCAGACCTTTGTATATCACACCCTATGGTGAGAGTTCATGTGGTCGACATGGAAACAGGGCAGTATGTCAAGAAATCTGACCGGTAAATATTGGAATTACTTTTTATCTGGAAGGTTTCTTTTTAAGAACTAGCAAAAGTTATGGATACAGCCACCTATCTATCTCACTTTTTATCAGGAAGGTTTCTGTACATGGTTTTAAAAGACGCTGGGGTACATGTGACCTTTATCTTAAAGCTATAGAACTTGTACCTCAGTTTTGCTTATACATGTACATAACTTGTTAGAAAGTTCATAACTGAGTTTAAGAGAACTAGAAAACTTTGAACCTGTGTTCATAGACTTTGATGTTCTATCATACTGCTATCAGTAATATTACTATAATGTTAAATTATTTAGTATGCATGTCAATATCTAACAACAAGTTAGAAGTACCCAGAGTTTCAAATTTACCACACAAAACATTTAGAATCTTGGTATAAATAACCATTCAGAGAGTGTAGTACTTTTTCAACTCTGGTACAAGTTCGTAAAATGTAATTTGTATGTAATAATTACACTTGTAGTGCTCGCAGTGTGACGTCGTACTATGAAAGTGAAAGTGACACTCCTGTTGATTTCATCATGCCTATGATGACACAACCATATGATTTCAAGAAGTACAAGTAANTTATACATGTACATAACTTGTTAGAAAGTTCATAACTGAGTTTAAGAGAACTAGAAAGCTTTGAGCCTGTGTTCATAGACTTTGATGTTCTATCATACTGCTACAGTATTAGTAATATCATCATTACTATAATGTTAAATTCTTTAGTATGCATGTCAATATCTAACAACAAGTTAGAAGTACCCCAAGTTTCAAATTTACAGCACAGAACATTTAGATTCTTGGTATAAATGACCATTCAGAGAGTGTTGTACTTTTTCAACTTTGGTACAAGTTCATAAAATGTAATTTGTATGTAATAATTACACTTGTAGTGCTCGCAGTGTGACGTCTTACTATGAAAGTGAAAGTGACACTCCTGTTGATTTCATCATGCCTATGATGACACAACCATATGATTTCAAGAAGTACAAGTAAGTCTTCTGGAGTAGTTAATTTGCATCAGTAGTGTTTGTTCTGGTTGGGCCAATAGACCAATTATTTCAATATATTAAAATTCAGCCTAAAATAATAGACCTCAGTGCAAGGCTCTGGGGAATAACTACAGTGTTTGTGGGGCTTATTCCCCAGAGCCTCGTGCTGAGGTCTATTGTGTTAGGCTGAATTTTAATATATTAAAATTGGTCTATTAGCAGGCTTTTAGCCAGAATTTGAAGAGTGGCTGTCCAAAATGTACTATCGGGCCTGCTCAAATGAGCAGTTTATAAGGCAACATATGAAAAATGAAATAATTTTCTGTAGAAAGTGGCCGTCTACAGGACACCTGGACACCCATCTGTCTAAAAGCCCGTCTATTACCCTGGTTCCTAACAAGTCTTGCCAAGGGCCAATTGTTCTGAGGACGACAAGAGTTGGGTTGAGTTTGCAGGTGTTTCTAGCTATTGGGGGTTTAAGAAATCAGAGAATAATTATTACTGACAGTGTTAAGTGAAGCAAATCCAAAGGAAATGACTTTTGGTTTGAGTCATTGGGAGGTCCAAGAAATTGAGATATTGAAAAGCTGGGAAGATGCTACATTGTAGGCCAAGATTTGAACATCATGATCCAATCTGTAGTGTAGTGCAAGGAGTTCCCAATGATGTGGTCTGGCCCCTTGTCTCACGGGTTGGTGCTTCACATACGGTTAACCTCATTGCACCTTTCTCCCCTTGGACAGAATTGGTATATCTATTGTCTTATCTGTCTGAGTGTTGTTTGTGTATTACAGAGTAACCATGGCCTTCTTATTGTGATATGTTGCCAGGTCATTGATGCCATCTTGGGAAGAAGTTCTTTTGTTCAATGAAATATTCTCATATTTCCTCAGTCGTCAGGAATCAGACCCGAAGGTTATAATGTTCTTTGAGGTCAGAGTCAGTAGATGATCTATAATTTAGCCTTGAACATCTTTGTTTACTTTGACATCCAACTGAAGTTATCTCACTTTTACATAATTTGGGCATTGAAATTTCCTGCCATTCTCAAAGGTGGTAGACTTCCTGAGCATGACAGCTGCCAAAAGAAGAAAAGGTCCTCCGACAAGCGACAAAGGCTGGTATCAGGTTGCGTGGGCCTTTCTCAAAGTGAGTACATGCATATATAAGTAAATATTTTACAATATTTAGCAAGGAAGCCACATCAGCCTTAGCTGGTTTTCATGCAGGTCCTCTATCCAGGTTGAGTTGGTATTTGGAGATGTTAGTTTTTGTGGAGGGAGGAAAACCAGGGTACTTGTACCTGGAGAAAAACCCTCATTGGAAGACAAGAGCCAGGAACAAACTCAACCTGTATATGGCACTGGGCTGGAATCAAACCAAGACCACATTGGTGACAGTCGAACAGTCTCACCACTGTGCCATCCATCCATACGCCCAGATTCCCTTCATTCATGATAAGGTTTTGTAGAACCCTTGTGACTGGTCAGGAGTAATTTCTGTGATTTAAACAGCTTTCAATCAAGTGTTCTAAGACCAACCTAATATTAATAATCACAGTGGCTNTTGATGCCATCTTGGGAAGAAGTTCTTTTGTTCAATGAAATATTCTCATATTTCCTCAGTCGTCAGGAATCAGACCCGAAGGTTATAATGTTCTTTGAGGTCAGAGTCAGTAGATGATCTATAATTTAGCCTTGAACATCTTTGTTTACTTTGACATCCAACTGAAGTTATCTCACTTTTACATAATTTGGGCATTGAAATTTCCTGCCATTCTCAAAGGTGGTAGACTTCCTGAGCATGACAGCTGCCAAAAGAAGAAAAGGTCCTCCGACAAGCGATAAAGGCTGGTATCAGGTTGCATGGGCCTTTCTAAAAGTGAGTACACGCATATATAAGTAAATAATTTACAATATTTAGCAAGGAAGCCACATCAGCCTTAGCTGGTTTTCATGCAGGTCCATTATCCTGGTTGAGTTGGTATTTGGAGATGTTAGTTTTTGTTGAGGGAGGAAAACCAGGGTACTTGTACCTGGAGAGAAACCCTCAGTGGAAGACAAGAACCAGCAACAAACTCAACCTGTAAACGCACTGGGCTGGAATCAAACCAAGACCACATTGGTGAGAGTCGAAAAGTCTCACCACTGTGCCATCCATCCATACTCCCAGGTTTCCTTCATTCATGATAAGGTTTTGTAGAACCCTTGTGACTGGTCAGGAGTAATTTCTGTGATTTAAACAGCTTTCAATCAAGTGTTCTAAGACCAACCTAATATTAATAATCACAGTGGCTAAGTACGTCTTCTGCAGCAAATTTAAATTAAATTAAAACTATACAAATGTAAGCTAATGATGTTTTGGAGCAAATTCATATAACTAGTCTACCATGTATGGGAAAACTGGTGGGTGCAAAACTAATAATTGCAGAGTGTATTAAGGGAAAATCAGTCAAAAGCAGTTCTAGATTATGGTAAATTCTCAAATTTAAAAAAAGCATCTTGTGCTCTAGACTTGTAAATATAACTAAATGGTGCTAGGTAAATGTGAAGGATAACCATTGTTAAGAAATCAGTGTCAGTGAAATCTTCCCTGAAGTCACAATTCTCCAATTTCAGAAGACCCGATATGAGGTACTTGTGATCACTTCCATTACAATAAACAGTTGTGTCAAACTGAGCAGTTCCTTCACTTACAAGGTTTTTAAGTTCCCTGGGCAAGCTAAGTCTGCCTCTTTGCACAAAACCTCATCAAAACTTAAAAAAACTTAATTCCCTTTAAAAAAAAAGCTTAATTACCAAGAGTGATTCTGCTTAATGCAGGTGATGGAAAACTGGGNAGTAATTTCTGTGATTTAAACAGCTTTCAATCAAGTGTTCTAAGACCAACCTAATATTAATAATCACAGTATCACTGTAGCCAAGTACGTCTTCTGCAGCAAATTTAAATTAAATTAAAACTATAAGCTGATGATGTTTTGGAGCAAATTCATATAACTAGTCAACCATGTATGGGAAAACTGGTGGGTGCAAAACTAATAATTGCAGAGTGTATTAAGGAAAATCAATCAAAAGCAGTTCTAGATTATGGTAAATTCTCAGATTTAAAAAGAGCATCTTGTGCTCTAGACCTGTAAATATAACTAAATGGTACTAGGTAAATGTGAAGGATAACCATTGTTAAGAAATCAGTGTCAGTGAAATCTTCCCTGAAGTCACAATTCTCCAATTTCAGAAGACCCGATATGAGGTACTTGTGATCACTTCCATTACAATAAACAGTTGTGTCAAACTGAGCAATTCCTTCACTTACAAGGTTTTTAAGTTCCCTGGGCAAGCTAAGTCTACCTCTTTTACACAAAACCTCATCAAACTTAAAAAAACTTAATTCCCTTAAAAAAAACTTAATTCCCGAGAGTGATTCTGCTTAATGCAGGTGATGGAAAACTGGGACATGTCATCTTGATGCAGCAACAAACTTCAAAGTTGATATAACAGATTAAAGCAGTCAGAGCATTAAGTTTTGATTCACCTCTAGCCTTGATCTTCACACCTGTAACAAACTTGGTACTATTGGGTGAATTGTATCAACTAAAGGCAAATTCACTCATAACATCAAGGGCCCATGACAGCCCTGGAAGTAGACTAGAAGTGAGAATCAATATTTTCAGCACAGATTCTGAACTGAAAGGGTGATTTTTACCACTTCTCAGGTCGTTGGCGGGAATGGCACCCCTAACACTGATAAAAAGGTCCGTCTTCAGCTGTTCCAGCCTCCCAAGCCCACAATCAGATCAAACAACATGGTAGAGGTACATGTAGTTAAATAAGTAATACTTTTTACACTGGAAAATGTTTGTAAATGAGGAGGAAATGTTTCCTTGCAAAGGAGACAAAAGCAATGATGTATGAAAATGCCTCCTTTTGTAAAGGAGGCATATTTTTACATCATTGTTTTCAGTTTTGAAAGGATAAATTTGAATTGAGCTGTGAAAAGTACAAACTATGATGCTGGAGAGAGGTAAAATACTTGTAACAATAATAGTGTAACTAAAGTTGAAAGCACTTTGGGGTATTGGTTTGAATGTGCAAGATGCAGTGGCCAAATGGTTAACCCCTACTACTTCAGATTGAGTGGTCCAGATTGAAGGTGTGGCCTTCACAATTCAGGTGTTTTGTCCTTGAAGAAGATAGGATACTCTCAGAGTATCCTCCTACCAGCGATGTGATTGCCAGGGTTTTCATTAAGGGCCGGGCATCGGGCAAATTGACCAGTTGTAAGGATGGTTTTGCCCGCCTGGTTTGACCATCTACATGTAGAGGAAAGTTTTTGTTATAAAGAAGGTCAGTTCAAAAAGTTCTTCCCACCTGTGAAAACCAGTTACCCTCCTACTGAAAATTTTACTAAAACCCCTGGGTTAAACACACCCTGAAAAAATACTGTGGGGAGGGGTTCCCAACCAGGGAAGAACCAATCACAATATCCTTACAGTAGTTGCCTCATGCCACAGAGACCCATGTTAAGATCCAGTAGCCACAACGTTTGTGAAGACTTACCTATTGGCTTGTGGTTATAGGTTTATCAGTGGTGGAAGCAAACCAAGCGAGTTCCTTACCCATCAACTCTTTATGTGACATTAAAAGGAGTCCAGCCCCCTAAGGTTATTGGTCCTAGTTTACGGTCCATGTTTGCCATACAACAGGTTTGATTATATTTATTATTTATTGTTGGATTTTTCCCCCTAATGGCGAAAATAATCACAAATTAACACAACTAACTCAAATTAAAAAACACTTACAACGTAATCAAAACTGCAATGCTATATTAGGGACAGGGATTTTTGTAAGAGGGAATTATTTGTAAGAGAATAGTTGAAGGTGTTTTATTTTTAATACATTTGATGTACNAGTGCTAAACACGTTAACACTTAAATAAAGTGATTTAGTTTATTTATTTTTATTTAAGAACACACAACAAGCAAGTGAAGTAAGACTTCTATTTTCTTATGTTATGAATACTGTGCTAAAGAAGTGCATTTTTCTCCAGATACACTTGTGAATTGTGAAGTCATGTTTTGCATTCATGTCCCAATACCATTTGTACAGGGAAGTTTAACTCTGTCTTGTTCTATGTATTGTAGGTCCCTTCATACGAGACTTGTGTACGCCTGCCAGGACATTTCAGTATAATATACGATCTGTGTTGGGCGCCTGATGATTTCGAACTCTTGTCAACCTCTTCTGATGGTACAGTCAGGTGATCCAAAATGTCAATTTTCCTTACTGGTTGTTACACATTTCTTTAATTGACAATTCTAACAATTTAATGGCACGTCAACAAATGCATTTTAAAAAAATTTAGATAAAATTATTTTAAGAGAAAGCCCAATCAGCTTGAGGCTGGTTTTCATGCAAGACCTCTATCCTAGTGTAACTGGAAGTTGGAGATTTGATTTTTGTGGAGGGAGGAATCGTCACTTGTATTTTCTTGGTATACAGACGAGCCTATAGTCTCCTCCGCAGCCGTTATTAGGGTCGTCACGCAACGCTTCTCCCCCACTAACGGGGGGAGAAGCGTTGCGTGACGACTCTAATAACGGCTGCGAAGGAGGCTAACGAGCCTATAACCAGAGAAAAATCCTCGGAGCAAGGCAAGAACCAACAACAAACTCCACCCACGTATGGCACCAGGCCAGAATCGAACCTGGGTCACATTAGAAGGAGGTGTGCACTCTCACCACTGCACTATCCCTGCTCCCCCATAAGTGATTGTATAATCCTCATAGCCTGTCTGTTTGGCAATGTATAAAGTGTTGTAAGCAAATATTTGATGTTTGTCAATATAATGTCAGCATTGTACGGCCTAAAATAAGAAAAACCTGCAATTTATTGACACCTAATTGAACACAGTTTTCAATAACAAGATTCTGTTAAACAATCAACAGATCCTGGGACACAAAGGTTATGATGACGTCATCTACCAAGCTTTATCCTCATCCGTGTTTTGTGTACGCAGCACAGTACCACCCAGGCTCCCCTCATATCATAGTGACAGGGGGATACGATAACCTGATAAGGGTCTGGACCAAACTGAGTGAAGGGCTCAATGGCAAGGTAAGACTGAATACTGAGCAAATAGAGTTATGAAACAAAACAGGAGACCCTTGACAGCAGCGAGAAACGTTTACAGTGGATAGTACTTTTGGACGATTTGAATTTCGGACAAAAAAGTGTCCGAAAATAAAACCATACGAAATTTTTAAGCCTTCCAAATATTTACAGTACAATAGAAAACTTTTAAAATCGCTCCAAAGCCGCTAGTCGCTATGGAGCCAACTCTGGTTAAGACACTGCTTGAGTTACGTGCAGTAAAACTATCATTATCACTGATGTTGTTTTAGTCTGAAACGTGTTTTGTAGGTGTAAATTTACTTTCGCTATGTTTCAGCAAAGTGACTGTGTCTGAAATTTTTCCCTGCAATTTGTCCGAAAATTAAACGTTCGATATTTTAGCATCCGAAAGTAAATTTTTAACTTTCGAAATCTTCAAGATAGTGACTTCTGGGATGGAGCAGTCCACGTTCAAAACATGGCTAGTTTCATTGCTCTCACAGCACCTCTCCCAACCCAGTTGTTTTTACGAAATGGTTCCCATCAAATCTAACGCCAGGCCGAGGGATCTTACAATCCCATGCATGGAGGTGTAGAAGTACTCCTGCTCACCTTATGCTTCCGAGACTGGACATAGGCACAGGTCTGATGTGGCACTAGGCTTGAATGCAAACTTTTTTACAAATACAGGTAACAGTAAAGAAAATTACCAAATTCTCAAACCACCATTAAGTAAAATGTTTGGTAGTCGGTAAGGAGAATTGATATTTTGATTATGACTTTGATAATTGGATGAACAAGAAATGTGTTGGCTCCACAGATAATGTTTAATGTTGTTGTTAACAGCTTCTCAGGGAAATTGAAGGACATGACGGTTTCATTAACAGCGTCTGCTTCGATCAAGAAGGTAAGTGGTATTATTTGTAGTGAGTTTACACAGCATTTTTCATTTAACTGCATCTTGTTAGCTCAGTTAGGCACGAGCCTTCAATTAGCCTGCGTTGCAGGCGTTCATTTCTAAAAGAACGCGAAAGGAACAAATGAAACTGCGAGCAAGTGCGAAAAAAGAAGTACCATCCCCTTCCCCTTCTCCTCCGCTTTGGCTCACCCCCTCCCCACTTCTCCCCAATCTTTGCTCATCCCTGCGGGCTCGCTCACTTGCTTGATCTCCCCGCCTGAAAAATGGATAGGAAACGTCTGCTACGCAGGCTAGCCTTCAATGCGAAAGGTTGTGGGTTTGAATCTCAGTGAAACCACCGTTACAGGGTCATACATTAACCGTTAAAATCATGCTGGCTGTGCGTGAAGAACTCCGCTTTAGGCTCTGTACCAGCTCAGATTCAACTTCGTTCCGAGGTTCTCTCATCTTCCTGCCCTCCCGGAGCGGGGAGGGCGAGAAGATGAGGAACCTGGGAACGAGGTTGGCTCAGATGATCGTGTCAAAGCAGTGAGCTAATGATATGAAATAGAAGAGAATATTAAAGAACCCAAAACATTGTTTAAGGTAATTCCCCTGAAATAAAACTGCCAATAGATTTTTGCTCAAACTTTGTCCACTGAATATTTATCATTTGAGAACTTTAATTATAAAATAAAAAAGGGGGTGCCCACGCTCGTTAAGGAGTAGCGAGGCATTAAATATGTCCCATTTTAGCATTATTTAATGCTTATTACAAGAACGCATTCCAAGTTATTGTTAACTCTTTGTGAGCCCAGACTCATGAAAACACGCCTCAAACTACAGTCAATACTTGTGTCGGACACAAATAAAAGTTTGATTTTGACAGACAGCTGAATCCTTGTTAAAATATTGGAACCAAATTGCTTGCCATGGCTATAAAACTGCAAAATTGAAAAGACTACAGTGCAGCTGCTATTTTCCTTATTTATTCAATTTTCAACAATAGATATCAGATCAGTCTTTTCTCACGCAAAGCTAATGATTAGTTGATTAAAATGACATTTTTCAAGTGGCGGAACTCAATATCAAGGCAAATCCGCCATGTTTTCAATGTGCGCGTACACGAACGCGCGCTAATGACGCCATAAATTATGCGCAGTAAGGATGTGCAGTGCAAATGCGAGGAATCACCTTAATGCGCTCCTTTATCGCATAGAAATTCTGGTGTTGTGGTTTGATCGATTCACTCTTTACCATGGGTTGGGTGGGCCGGGGGATTTCATAAAAATGTCTTTACAACCTGACATCCTCCGTCTCATAAAAATGTAAAGCATTTTGAGGCTATTGTATCCGGGTGCTGTATGAGAACTATGATGGTTTTATTTTTTGTTTTTAGGTGTAATTTATTTGATTTTTGTATCGTTAAATGTCTCTCTTTCAAGGCGCGAAGATGGTTTCAGCAGACAGTAAAGGAATTGTTATCGTTTGGAACTCATATATTCATCCTCAAGTGGATACCAAGAGGAAGAGAAAAGGAACTGGCGGTAAGAACAGACTCATTTGAAATAAGAAGTTCAACACTAGCTGAATATGAAGACTCTCAATAAAGTTTCATTCTTTCAAGTTTGCAATATTGCAATCCAATTCCATCCTCGCGGCTGATCTTTCTCACCTCCTTGTGGATTCATGTCGTTTCACTGGTCGAGTATTGTTCTTTAAAATCAAACCACTAGCGTCGAGTTCGCTTAGGAAGTATTATTTTACCCAAAACTTATAATTTATATGAGTTTAAATGCTTGTCCTTTGTCCATCCCAGGCTACGTATATGACTGGACACTGTCTGCAAAAGTAGCTATTGATGAACTTCAGGTGGGTGGCTTTAGTATTAACTTCAGTGAAAAGTGATTGTAAACAGGTTGAACATCTCTGATTCTTCAAGTTTGTTAAAAGTGGGCATACAATGTTTATGGGGAAAACGCACAAGACTCCTGGGGAAGACAATGGATATTCTGAGGAAAACTTTGTTCTCAAGTCTCTCTGGGAAGACGTAATTTTGGAACTCTTAGTGAGGGAAAACAGCTGACACCTAAAAAAAAAACATAGGCACCTGTTGGGAGAAAGACAAGACTCTCAGAAAAACATTACTGATTCTTGGAGAAAACTGTCTTTAAGACTCTCGTAAAAGGCGTTGGAGAATCGTTTGACAACACCCTCAAAAAAACATTCAAGTCTCAGTCGCACTACCTGGTCTTGTTTTCTTTTCCCTGGTGAGTTTTGTTTTCATTCTGCCTAGTAACAGAGCTAATAAAAGGGCTTCTTCCCTAATCACCAGTTGAAAAAGCTTCTTTAAATTCTGGTGATACCTTCCAGGGCAACGTCATCAACTCTCTCAGCCTGCACCCCAATGGACGGAAGCTGCTGGTTCATGTGCGCAACAGCGTGCTGTGCATGCTGGACTTGAGGAGCTATACCGTCATGCAACGGTATCTTGGTGCTTCCAACTTTAAAGAACACATCCGTAGCACTCTCAGCGCATGCGGGTGCTTTGTTATCGCAGGCTCAGAGGATGGCTATGCGTATGTGTGGAACACTGAAACAGGTCAGTCAACTCAAGTTTTATGTGGTCAACTAATACTTGCATAACTGGAAATTTCTTGTTTTCTCATGACTTTTTTTAAATAAGTTCTATAATTTCATTGCACTGGACTAGTCAGGCATGCATTGTCGCTTGCATTCTAAGTATTTGACAGAAGAAGCAATAATAATAGGATGAAGTGTTATGAAGTGTACGCAAAAAAAATTCGAACTTTTTGTTTCGGACGTTTAATTTTCGGACTCTTTTTTATCCCATTTGATTCACTGCTAAAACATACCTTAATAAGTAAATTTACGCCTACAAAACACAAATAAGACTGAAACAACATCTGTGAAAATGATAGTTTTACTCCACCTTCGAAGTCTTACAGATACACCGACAAGAAAATTCTATCAAGTCGCTACGTATCTCAAGGAGTGCCTCAACTAGAGTTTCCTTTAAGAGCTTTGGAGCTACTTCAATGTTTTATACTGTACTGTAAATATCTCGGACGATTTCATTTTCGCACACTTTTTTCTCCGAAATTAAAATCGATTTAAAAAATACAAAATTAACATAAATATGTTTCTACAGTATAATGTCACGAACGGTATCTAGAATGCAATGAAATATGTAAGACTTAGATCTGTGGCCAACGATACATTTTTGGCAACCATGTTTACTGAACTGCCATAATCACGTAGGGCGATTGGTGAACCAATTTATGGGAATTATTTTTGATAAATGTCATTTCAGGTGATCTGGTGTCAGTCTACACGTCTCTTGGTTATCACCATGCTGTGTCAGATGTACAGTTTCACCCGCTTGATCACATTATTGCTTTCTGCTCCTTTGGTGACTCACATCCTATTCTTGTATTCCACTATGATCCCAAAGGTTTGTTGTACTTCTATTCACTAAAATCAGGCCTAGTTCACACAAAAGAGACATAGGAGGCAGCGTGGCCGAGTGGTTAGGGTGCAGGACTTGAAATCTGGAGGTCGCGGGTTCACGTCCCCCTCTGACCACTAAGCTGGTGTTGGTTCTCAGTAGACCGTAGTTCAACTCGGTCATGCTTGTGATAGCCAACTGGTCTGCCTCCCCCCAGTTCGGATTTTCAAGCCTATTATGTTTAGTTGATATATTTTGTTTCTTTCAGTTTAAGTGGCATGCCTGTGAACTAGCCAGGTGTAGCTAAGCGCATTGACCACTATAAACAGAACATTTGAACCACCAACTGTGCCCTGAAAGCAGAACAAAGTTGTTGGAACTTTGGACATCATTTGCCAAACTTGTTGTTCATTTTATTTCTCCAGTGGCTAAAGAAGAAGCTAAGAAACTGATGACTCCTCCAGTGACTCCATCTAAACAACCTACGACGTCACAACAGAACACAGCTACACCTGATGACGTCACCAGGCACGTACAGATAGCTGACGTGGCCGGTGATGTATTACGCATGCGAAAAGTCAAGCAGAAACTGGACTCTGTATTGGTGAGTGTGACTTTAAAGAAGCTCAGTCACGGCATTTTGACTTATTTTGGCCGAGTACAAAATTACCTTTAGATTGAAGGAAACCTGAAAATGCTAGTTTACTAAGATAGAAAAACACCAAGGAGATAATGATAAACTGTACTGGAACAAGGATGGTTAAGGTTGGAGAAGATTAACACGGATTACAAACGACAAACTTGAAAAATTGAGGCTAAACTTTTCAAGATGCGCAAACCGTGACGTAGCTCCTTTAAATACTGCCTTGTCTTCTTTTTTGAGTGGTGTAGTGGGCGCTAATGTTTAGCATGCCGTACTCGGGGTTGAGCAGTCTGGGTTCGAGCCCTGACCTGGGTCACTGTCATGTTTAATGCGGCTAATGCCTCTCATAGTGAACTTAGCAACACTCTTAGTTGCCAATGTGTTAGCCTGCGTAGCATATTGCGTTACGTAGGATAGGGCGAACAAACAATGTAAGTAATTTGGTCGCGCAAAAATTGGGGCGAAAACCACCCTCGCTTCTTCAATAGGGAGTTTTAGCAATGACCACGGGGACGGCGGGGAAGACGGCTTGTAAAAATGTATTAATATTTTACCTTCGAATGTGGCAACTCTGTAAATCTGTTCAGTACCCCTATCGGTCTAAAAACTTGCTCAGGCTAAACATGCACCGACAGCGTTTAATTCCAAAAGAAGATACGAAAAATTAGCCATTGTGGTTCACGTTTTCCAAAATACGTAGAACTTGGTCATTTCACGCGGTTGTTTTGCAGAAGACGGCAAAGAAATGTACCAAGAATTATAACGCACGTACACAGCTATTGTTCTGCTCATTAAACCTTTTGTTTGGTGACAGTCCCGTCGCCGTCGCAGTCGTGGTTTGCTAAAACTCCCTACTGTTTTTTTTTTTCTTTTTTGCTGTCGCAATTTACGCGCGGCCAGAATGCGGAAAAGCTCTGCGTTCAAAAGGAAACGCTACCAATATGCAGTCTCTGTTTCTGATAGCGTGAAAGGCAATGCAGTCTATTTTACCTTTTAACTAGTTTTGGTTTTCCACTTCCATAGATTACTGCACTTTTCAGTGTCAAACTACAAGGAAAGAGGCTTTTCAGGGAGTCATAAATTTTTCGTTATCCAATGCTGTTGACATAATGACGATAACGAACTTTCTGTATCGATATATTGCTTTTGAAATTGAAATAAGCATTGTACAAAAACTACCATATCATTTGCTACTTTCTGTAACAACAGAAATTTTGTTTAGTTGTAACTAGGACACTAAAATCATTATCGTTACAGACGAAGCGTCCGTCACATGAATGCGTGATTTTCAGGGAGGTTTTTGCGCTTTTATTAAACCAATGACCTCCTAATTTCAGGAAACACCAGCTTCATCTGGCTACATGAACACTGCAATGTTGAAAACCCCAGGGGCCGATAACTTCATGTTCCAAACCCCAGGGAGACCCGATAGCGCCGGGTACTCTGGACCCGTGCATACAGGAAAGAGGACTGGTGGCGTTACTTTCCAGTTCCCCGAGAGCTCTGAACGAACATTCAGGCAAGGCATGGGTACTAATGTGAGTCTTTCAACCTGGGGCTCAGACTTCTCTCCAACAGGGTACACAGCGTTCGGTTCAAAGTCGTCACTTCAAAGTCCAACGCCAGGACAGGTGAGACATTATAATTCACTATTTATCTTGTTTGAAAATTTACCCAATGTATGATTATCCTCTCATGCATAGTAACCAGAGTTTATGGAAACGCAGTGACGTTCATTCACCTTTGTCAGTAGACCACCCAAAATTATATACAAATGTGACTTATAGAGCGTTTTTACTCATGAGGCCAGTAGCCTTGCAAATTTATTGGAACAAAAGAAAGTGTTTACATGAGAAAAGAGTTTAACTACCACAGGCTTGGTTAGTGGTACACCACCATGGCCACCGTGAGATCACGTGAAAACGTTTTCTAGTTGGTGTAGGCTAAGTGTCATCTTGTTTTGCTATATTTTAATAAGAATAAGAATTTTTTTGGTTTCTTGTGTAGTTTTGTTTGTTTGGCCCATTTCCTTGTTCCCTTGTTCTTTTGTTTCAAAACGAAGTTAAAAGTAATGACAACACAAAAACTTTTGCTGAAATTGTGAAAATATCCACTGCCCTTAAGAAGGTCAAGTGATATACAATAGGTGAAAAATGATAATCTCATTTGAAATTTTCCCACAGGTTCCCTACGATCCACCGATGTCACCTCATGCCCAGCAGTATTTTGGAGCATCAGGTCGTTTTGAGTCTCTAAGGCTTTTTTCACAGAATAATAGATACGGCAGCCCACAACCAGATATGAATGTGCCCCAGTCTTATCAAACGTCCGGTAAGTACCTAGGCTCAAAATATAAGTTTTCCTTATTGACTACCATACGTTTGTTCGAATGGTTATTTGGCCCAGCCCAGCGGATACTTCTCACTGCTCACTGAGTCAAATTGAAATGTGGTGTAACATGAACCACTTATATAAACCTTAAGAGGTTTTTCTGGGAAAAAAGGCGTTGGATTTACGAATTGTCCTGTTTCATATCGAAATCTTACACTGTGTTGGAAACCTTTAAACATGTGAAGTAAAGTCTGTACTTGTTACTCTCTTACATTTTTTGTGTAATCATGTCCCATCAAAAACAATAATAAGCTTTAATATACATTGAACTCACTATCTCTTTTCTGATTGGCCGAAAGCGTACAGTGAATTTTCGAAATCAGCGCCTGTGACGTCGTCTAGCTGCAGATTATACAATAATCATGTCAAGGACACTCAAGGTCGCGGGTAATCATATCATGTATGACCGCGGTGCATGATTTCTAAAGGTAATCATGTCAAGTTCGCGCGCTTTGTGTTGCTTGCCGTCANTAAACTTGGCATAAGAGCTTTACTTATCTTCTATCTAACAATAGGAAGTTTTAAATTTTTCAAGCATTTTGAAGGATTCTGTCGATCGTTGAAGAATTGCCTTTGCCTTTGAAAAGCCCCTATGAAAACGGCAAAAATTGCGTAGTTTTACAGTGACTCTTAACGAAAGAAATTTTTTAGAAAAATGTTTATTTATTTATTTTTTTTTTGTTTTCAATAGGAATGTCGTGGATGAAGAGGCCTTCAATGAGCTTGAACATTAGTGATTCACCTGGACCCTTGGTTAGATTTTTGTCTGTCTGTCTGTCTGTCTGGTTGTCTGTCCGTCCGTCTGTCTGTCTGTCTGCCTGTTTGTCTTGCTCTCTGTCTTGCTGTTTGCCTGTCCGTCTGTCTGCCTATCCGTCTATCTGTCTATCTGTCTGTCTGTCTGTCTGTCTGCCTGCCTGTCTTTCTTTCCCTCCCCGTGCGACCAATCTGTTGTTCTTCCAAAACTGTTCATTTAAAATGTGAGATTAGTAGAGGTCCAATCTCGTTCTTTTCTGCACAAGCTTGACAAAACGAGGGACTCTCGAGAGTTCGTTACAGGCTCGAATTTGATTGGTTTCAAATACAATTTAAATGAGCGGAAGAAAAACAATAGCGACTCGATTGAGCATATCTTATCCACAGACGAAGACTTTTGGTACGAGGTTGGTAGTGGTCATTATCAAACCTGTCCTCTGCTCCTTAATTCTGCATTCTCTTCGCGTAATTTTTAGGAGATAAGAAATAGAAACTGCTCACAGTGTTCTAAAAGTGTTAATGTGCTTGATTGTCTTTATGAACAGAGTGTGTCACAGCTCGGCGGCAGTGCTAAACCCAAGTTTACATTTAGTGATTCCCCAACAGCACATCTGTTGCAGCAGGAGCCGCAGCCCAGAAAAAAGGTTCATTATAAATATTAGATCATTCTGCCCTTTTTAACCCTGAATCCTAACGACTGCTTTCTTTCTTTATTTTTTGTTTCTTTTATATATTTTTTTTGTGACCCTATTTTTGATTCCTTCATGCCTACTATGGCTGACTATGATGTAAACGGACTTGGTAGATATACCATATTTTCACATAAAGGGTTTGTAGCCAGACTTCCATACAGTTGTAAGTCACTAATTTTATTATATGGCTAGCTCCGTGAGCGGGCAAGATGAACCAAATCCTGCGTTGTGATTGGCTAACCAACTTGGCATGAGAGCGCAATCCTGCCCGTTCGGGATTACCCGCTTTGTCCCGCAAGAAAAGAGTGTTCTTTTTTATATAATAAATCCTTTATTGACCAAGCTTGTTCGGTCAAGCTTAAAGATGGCTCGATATTGGCCAATATCCAACCATCTTGACCTCTCTTTCTGTCAATAACCCATATATTTTGCCTTGTAGGTTATAGCCATGCATCCTTATGACGCCAACAGGGCGGATGAGCTGACCATTCAACCTGGTGATGTCATCAGCGTCCTTTACATTGACAATGAAAACTGGTGGATGGGTGAACTGGCTGATGGCAGGCAGGGTTACTTTCCATCCAATTATGTCGTGGACCAAGGTGAGATTTATGCCTCATGGTCTTGGCTTGATCTCTAAACGTCTTGTGCCTTGTACAAACGCACTTTTCGCTTGATTCCAAACATGACTTCCCCGCAGGTTGTCGAAACGTCAGTCACTACCAGCAACTCTTTTTAGAACTACTCTCGCCGGGATTGTCAAACTGTACCAAACCCTGTCCAAAATAGAAAGATATCTTCCCTAGAGAGGTGTCCGCTTGAGAGATTTAGAGACGTTTTTGTCTTACTGAGGTATTTTTGCGTTATAGAGGCGTGTGCCTTGATATTTTTTATCCTTGAGGGAAAGCTAGTTATTAGGAATGAAATATTACTTCGTCCTTTTGGATTTGTCCATTTTTAAAAGACATCTATTTTCAGTTACTCTCTTTGTAAATGATTTTTTATACTGTCAAAGTACACGATAGGATCCTTCGAGGAACTCAATTTTTCAAATGCTTACCCACTAGCCTTTATTTGGCGAGTGTGTTAATTAACAATTGGACCCGTAGCCCGCAAGGGCTACGGGTCAATAACCCATGAGGCGAAGCTGAATGGGCTGTTTACCCGTGGCCGTTGAGGGCGAAGGGTCTAATTGTTTTAGTATCACCCAACTAGTCGGACAGAAAAGGTAATAATAAAGTTAGCAAATGCAAGTTGAAGAAATATTTATTTGGGAATAAAACGAAAGAAAGCGTCACGCTCGATTGCGCCAACGTCGCTACTCGAGGACTATTACCAATAGTCCCCTAGTAGCGTAGCCAATTAAAATGCAGGATTTGCATTAGTCCACCAGTTGGGTGATACTAATATACATTTAGTTGACGGTTACAAGTGTAGAATTCATGAAAAAAAAGACATACCACTAAAAGGAATGATTTACCATTTAAATTCCATGCTCCCAAAAAGACTTTTGCATACCAGAATCTTTGTAACACCACCGATATATATTGGAATGCCAACCTTAGTTTGTCTGTAGCAGATAAGGTAAACGTAAAGGTAAAGTTTGCATACGAGTCAAGTGGTCCACCAGGTCGGAGTTTATCCCGGTTTCTGTAGCATAAAGCGACTAGGAGTATTTCTACTCCCCACTGGATGGGATGCTAGTCCATCGCAGGGTTACCCCCAGTATTACGTTCGCCGGTACCCATTTATACACCTGGGTGTAGAGAGGCACTGTGACAGTAATGTGTCTTGCTCAAGAACACAACACAATGTCTTGACCAGGGCTCGAACCCTGACCGCTCAATTCGTAGACGAGCGCACTAACCATGAGGCCACCATGCCTCTCCAAAAAGACGCACCACTAAAAGGAGTGAATTACTATTTGATTCCACTCCCCAAAAAGAATTGCGTACCAGAATCTGTGTGACACCATCGAAATACAATGGCCTGGTAATCTTAGTTTTGTCTGTAGGAGATAAACTGGGTATTTTTTGTCGGTATTTTCTCGATTTTTTCAGGCGACCTTGAATCTGAAGGTGATTTACAGGAGACCACTGTGCCGAGTGCCACAAGTATGGCCAAACAGGAACCAAAGGTCAACACGCAGGTCAGTAGAGAACAGTCATAACAACTACAACAATGGTTTTTTATTGTAAAACCTGAAATTTCTGTAAGGGAAAGATGATGAGGGTAAGCAAATCAGGTGAAATAGTCTTGATGAAATAGCTATACAGGGCTATAACTATCAGTTAGCTACACATAATACAATACTACAATATTAAACCAAATCTCAGCAGAAATGAGCAAAAAACTCATATATAAGTAGGGCTCAAAATTAACTTTTTCGTTCGGGAGCCAGCTGGCGACTAAGCTCTTTAAAGTGTCAAATATTTCGTGCAAACTAGGCATTTCAGACTAAGCCCTTCTCAGTATGTTTCAACTTACTGAAGAAGGGTTAAGCCGGAAACGCTTAGTTTATACGAACTGTTTGACTCCTTAAAGAGCTTTTTTAGCTTTTTGTTACCTTAAAGACGAAGCTGTTTGGCTTAACACAGTGCCTGGCATACCACAGCAGTACCTTTATTTTGCAGTGCCATTGACTCTTCGTATTTGTAACTGTTTTCAGATGACGGCAGTTATCAGCAAGTCTGGTGATCTGAAGATTGTATCAGGACCCGAGGACAGCAGCGATGCAGAAAGCAAACTCAACACAACGTAAGGAGTATAGAGCACTCTCCTCACTCCGTCCCCCACCCCATCCCACCCCTGTCCATTTCGGAAACTACTTTTTCATACACGTTTCAGTCTGGGCCCAAGGGTGATCAACACTTATTTTCTCCTGACCATATAAGTACGTTGTCAATGAAACAGGTGATGAGAATAACGAACATCATCAACAAGCTGTTGTCTTAATTTACCACCAAATTCCCAGAACTTAAGTCCAACTAAATGTGAATCTCATTTAGGAGAATTTGGGAATGGAAGCTTAATGGTTAGTTACTGGTTTGTATGCTGGACGTTGGATCGAGCTGTCCAGGTTTGAGCCCTGACCAGGGTCATTGTGTGGCTGTTCTTGGGCAAGACACTTTCCCTTTCTCCTTCTAGAAGTATATTCGGGTGCTGCCAAATTTTTAGGTTTGACTGATAGAATACTCGGAAGAAAGCTATGTTGCGATCTCGTTTCCAGGGTCCTCTTCTTTGCGTCTCCGGGAGCGAGAGAGGACGGGATTGAGAGGACCCTGGGAACGAGGTTGGCTATGAGATACTAAGCAATATTGGTATCCGCCTCTTGCTACCAAATATGGAGTTAGGCGGCAAGAGCCATAAGGTGAGCTGGTTGTACTTAAAGGGCTTTACTTTCCTGTTTTAGAGCTCGTCACAGAAGAAGACATAGAGAAAAAGAAAAACAGCAGAAATCCGAAGAAACACCAGAGAAAAAGGTTTCACCGAGGAGAGCAAAGAAGAGATGACACAAAATTTATTTTGACACCTAATAAGTATGGTGAATTTTCTCCCCGAAAGAATTTGCTTCTTGCAACTGAGCAAACAAGCTGTGACAGCTCTCATGGTTCCAAAATTTAAATCAATGAAATTAAATTTTAAACCTTTATTTTAATGCCTGTTTAGTTCAGTTTTTTAATTTTTGTCCGTAAAGGAAGCTTTAAATTGTTTTATGCTATAAAGTGAATCTTCATCCTCTAACCTGTTGTGAATTACTTTTTTCAAGTTTGTGGCAATTCATTACAGATTACAAAATAAATGTTTAATGTGTATTTGGTTTTCTCCGTAAAGCAAGCTTTTAACTGTTTCATGCTATAAAGTGAATTTTCATTCGGCAAGCTGTTGTAAATGAATTTTTTATCAAACTCATAGATCCATTACAAATTATAAAATAAATTTTTAATGTGTATTTGGTAAGCTAGGATAAAAAATAAAACAAAATATTTTGTAATGAGTGAATTTGTTGTAACCTGCATTTGCTTTAGCTTGCAAGCAAGCTTATGCTTGTGATCATGTAGGCGACAACGAGCCGATCATTTTGCCATTACTTGGACAACACTATGACAGCAGTTGCTGTAATATATGGGACACACTAGGGGACATGTTGTAGGGACATGAAGAGAGGTCAAGCTCCTTCGTGTGTACGCGTAGGACGCATGTTGCAGAACTGTTGCTCACGAAGCAGATTGAGGCATAAAAATGTGTTGTGAGCGCAGTGACACGATGCGACATTGAAAATTGAAGGTCATTTTAAGGGGACAAAAAATCTCGCAACAAAACCTTTTTTGGAAGAAAACGGGCATGTCACGAGGAGAAAAGTTGAGTCCTTAATGTGTGTGTGATATCGTTTCATTATGATCATTTCTGTCTACTTCCCATTGTTACGAAATGCTTACATTCTACCAGCGAATAGTCATATTGGGGCCCGTGGTCCCTCTGAATGTAGTGTTATAGAATACGAAACAAGCTCCAGAATAGGAGCATCAGCGGAAGTGATTCGTTTCTTAAAAAGCTCAATCTATAATTAAGCGCAAGTGCATAAGAGGGGGTGGGGGGGAAGAGAAATTTTAGCTTCAAATTACTATGCAAAAGCAATAGCTATTGCGTGATTTGCATTCAGTCAGGGACTTTCCATGATCTTTCATGATCCATGATCGTTCTCTGGAACTACCTTCAAGTGCGCAATGTGTCGTTAAAATTCCTTTCGTATCCATTGAATGATAACTGGGCATAATTCCAAATTTACAGCCGGTTCAAATTGATAATGTGAGTTGACTTCACCCATAACTAACTGAACAAAAGGTGTGGTTCACGCAAACGTTTGGTGACACAAGCCGTGACGCCATTCTAGTGTTCATCGGCCACCATCCAAGTGACCAAAAGACACGAGGTCTGGGAATGAGAATGTGACGCCATTTGCCATATCAGGCTGAGTAGTGCGGGATGAGTAGGTACAAAACTTGGACTGGATTAACTTGAATAAGATTAATGGCAACTATTTTTTATGCCTCGTATAGTTGTCATTTTTATCAGAATCAGCGATCCGAGTTGATCCGTTCCGGTCTCAGTCCCAGCTCATGAGGTATGATGAGCAATCCCACTACTTACACAAAAACGTCGGACACGAATTCGAAAATTCTAGGTGAGGGCAGTCTAGCAAAACACTATGATTGTTTGATTGATTTATGATCTAGATCATCATCTCTTGGGTCTAGTAATTAATTAATGCTGGACATATTTCACAACTAAAAATATGTTTCCAGCTGTTCGACTTATATTTACACAGCGGTGTATTCGTAACTGTCAAATTTGATCAATCAGTCGATGTTCTCCTTCTCCTTTGGTTGGCAACTTTGACAAGCAGCTTGTCAGCTTGCGTGCCATGTTCAGAACTGCCGGTGCAAATAATAATTGTCCTTAGGCGCCCATGGTTCCTGGTGTCCTCGGCTCTTGTTTAGCATGACCTCAAGGAACCCTTTTTTCCACGGGCAGCCACGCTCTTACGATACAGCTCGTATAACTCATACATGTATAGCTCTGTAGTAACATATTGACGCACTGCGGACCTGTTTTGTTAAAACCTTCGGCCGTCAAACAGCGGTAGTCCAGTTGTGAAAAAAATCAAGCCTATCGGTATCAAATTTCCCGAATCCCAAAGAAAATAATACAGTGAAACAACTTATTATGTTACAAGTTGTAAAATCTGGCCGTCGATTGACCTAATGCGTTTTTCGGTCCGGTTTCCGCTTCCTCGATCCCAGGCGTGTTCTCTTTAGAGAGAAAAGGGGCCCTGGGAACGAGATTAATTCGCAGTCTTCCTCGGTTGTTGTTTGTGTACAGGACGGTTGCGAAGATGCCGTTTTTCAAACGAAGTGCTAAGCCTCCCAAAAGAAGACTAGATGCGGGCAATACAACTTTAAGCAAGTCAAATTTAAGCCTAGTTGGAACAGGAGAGCTGGGAGAATCGGTGAATAATGCTCTTGTAAAGTTAAAACTTGGCCAACACGAGTTAAGTTTTCAAGATGGCGAATGGATTGCAGAACCTGGTTCACAAAGCAGTTCTAAAGATGGAGTTGAAGTCAACAGATTACAAAAACTAAATGCACAGCTCAAAGAGGAGAACAATTATCTTAAGTACAAGATCGAAGTACTGTTAGACATGATGGCTGCAAGCACAGCGGACTGCAATGTGATGGAGAAAGAACTCGACACATTACAAAGTCAAAAACAAGGCCGTAGAGTAGCACGATAGCACTACAAACTTCAACTTTACCAAGCCTCTATTCTTTGAGGGAACCACACGTAAA